TAACTCGAAGCAAACGGGTAGATAGTAGTATACATTAATTGTTTAAAAATTTGATTGTGAGAGCTAGAATATTCTCCACACCAACACATGCTTCGCGTTATTTACCTACTTAGGTACTTAAAAATATTACAGTAACAAACATATCTACCTACAACAAACCTACAGGGTACTTCCCGTGAACTTAGAATCTTGAAATTTGGTACGAAGTCAGCATAAATTAAGTATTCTGTTAGGTTACAGATAATCACTATACGATTATACGTGTGTTATCACAATGTTTTATTTAACAAATCGTGAATCGGCTCTAATAGCTTGATGTGCTTGATGAAGAAGAAAATGTAAGGCGTTTAAACATGCTGGTAGCGCGCGGTCCACTCACTAACGAGTAGTGAGTTTACAACACAGTTTTTTAAGCAATGGATGTCACCGAGTTGTCCACCCGCCGCCCGCTCTCGGGGACAGCTTATAGAAAGTCTGCTGTCTGGATTTTTGTAGTAAAATTTTCTTTAGATGTAAAAACGATAAAGATATTTTATTAATTTATTTACAATGCTTATCTCATCATGATCACTTTAAAGTCACACCATTTTCGATTACGTAATTCGATCCAGTGATTCCTTTTGCAGCGTCACTTGCCAAGAATGCGATCAAATCCGCAACTTCCTCCGGTTCAGACACTCTGTTTAAGGCAGTAAAAGCGTTGAAATTATCCCAGGATACCGGTACACCAGCGTTCTCCATGATATCTGTCCTCACTGGTCCTGGACTTATGGCGTTTACTCTAACACCATAAGCGGACAGTTCTAAAGCGGCACCCCTGGTAAAATGATCCAAAGCTGCTTTCGATGTAGCATATGAAATGTAACAATTCACTTTAATCACTTGGCCCATAATACTTGAAATGTTTATAATGTTCCCTTTGGTTTTAACAAGGTGAGGAGATGCCAAACTTGTGATAAGGATGGCAGCACGGAGGTTGACTTTCATTATCTCATCAAAGCTCTTCATGACTGTGCCACTAAGGATATTATCTATTCTAACGATGCCAGCGTTGTTGACGAGTATATCCAATTTTCCATATTTGTCAATGGTCTCGTCGATTAATCTTTTAGCATCTTCTTCGTTGGCAACATCGGCGCGAATGACGAGCAGCGACTTCCCAATGACCGCACATTGTTTTTCAACGTTTGCTAATTTCTCCTGGTTTCTCGCAACCAGCACTACTGATGCACCCTCTTTTGCGAAAAGCTTGGCTGCTGCAGCTCCAATACCTGAACTCGCCCCAGTGATCAGCACTACTTTGTCTTGAAATCTCATTTTTATTTTATTTTTTACAATCCTACATGTAGCGTGCTCTTCAAACAGCATATCGCTACTTTCTGCGGTATGTAATCATACCAGGTACCTATTTCTATAATAATTTCATGGTTGTTTGTCAAGTCACGGTTATCTGTATTTAACTCAGAACAACAACATAAGTATAAAATAATGCTACTATGACGTTTGACCGTACACTCCCATGGACAAAAGATTTTCAAAGAAAGTATTACCCAACCAAAAAGTATTTGTGGCGAGTTGGCAGGTTTACTTTGACATTAGATCGCTTTTTGATTCGGTATCGTAAAAGGTAAACAAGATATCCACAAGACATACAATGGTATCCAATATGACGTTTGTATAGTGGTATGCATGCTGTTCATAGCAACACATATTTGTCTCTATTTTGGGCTATATGTAAAAATAAGATGACTATATTAGGAAACTTTATGAGTAGAATTTAAACTCTAGCTATGCTTCTCTTCTTGTTCAGAGATATTTAGTTGAATATATCGTTAATACCTACCTACTTGATTTTGATAAAAATAAATTGAGTTCTTGAAACTGTTTGTTAATGTTGTATTGTTTGATAGTAACTAACGCCACCAACTAAAGTAGCAGCATCATCATCATGATCATCAACAGCCTATCTTAGTCCACTGCTGGACATAGGCCTCTCCAAATGCACGCCACTTAGATCGATCATCCAGCCAGCATCCAGCTCCTGCCAGCCATCAGTGAAATAACCTACGTTCTGCGATCGCCAACCCGCCTGCCCAGCGTGGCGATTATGGGCAATACCTTGAATGCACACAAAAGTAGCAGCAATACATTTAATTTAGTGACATCCATTTCTGAAGTGAAACTTTTTTCAGACGGGGTTGCAAATGGAAAAATCTTATGGAAAAGATGAAACGGCAATGCGTCCCAAGCGTCACACGACTATATATATATATATATATATATATATATATATATTGTAAGAAGAATCCTCTCTTACGTCAGCAACTACCCCACCACTTCACCTATAAAAGCAAGGCGCTGGGGGTAGAACGCTTTCCCCTCCCGTTCCAAGTGCACATCTGAGTGCACTTGTCCTCTAAGCGCATTTTGCGTTATTTTAAACTATGCACTAGTTTAAACTAACGCAGCGCCGCATCATCCCCCTCTCGGGGGATGATCGCTTCAGATGAAGCTTGTAAGCATGATTAAAGGGTGTTTTTTAGTCAGTAAGAGTCTGACATAACCCTACAGCCGGCTGTAGGGTATCCATGAGGATTTCTCACCTTCTCCCCCGCCTGGGAGGAAACAAAAAAAAAAGGTAGAACGCACCATTTGTCGCTCTGCGCTCGGACTGGACGGACGTGTGAATCATCAGCTTGTCGTAAGGTTACGTTAGCCATTTGAGTTTAGTGCAAAAGTGATAAAATGTACAGTGTTTCGTTTTGTGGATTGTGGAATGTAAGTAATTTTATTGATTGTAATTTGAGTCAATTGTAATTATGAAGTAAAAATGTTTTTTTTGTTATTAACTGTTTTTAATTGAATTTCCACTTCCGAAGCTTACAATATATATATATATATATGTGTTTCAGCAAGCCAGGCGAGAACTGAAGAATAATAATCTGAATGTACCACGTCGCTGTCACAATCTCAATCTCGTCCAACCTGCTGTGCTGTCAGTCACACAAGGAGTTACTGACAAGATTGGGAGGATTCTGAAGCGCACTTCAATCAATATCTACTTCAAGCCGCCGAAGAAGATCAACCAGTTTATACGAGCTGTCAAATGCAATATACTGTTTCAAGTTGCTAGTGTCTAGAAACTTGAACGCGGCTGTGAGCTCTGCTACATCGGGCAAACAAAGAGCAGTATAGGGACTCGGGTAAAAGAACATATTGCAGATACGAAACATGGGCGCGAAAATAAGTGTGCAGTGATCCTTGCAAAACCACAGATCCTTGCAACTGAACAATGATTCATTCCTATGATGATACGCAAAGAAACATCCTAATTTCAATAGAGAAGATGGTTGGTATATACCACCAGTTAGGGATATATTCAGACTCGTCTTTCCCAGTGGGCACTTTGGGCAAGTGCCCAGGGCCCCGCGATTGATAGGGGGCCCCTCAGATCAAATACAAAATCCCTGGTTCCTGTTAAATCACCAAACGGAAGTCATAGGGGCCCCATTATCCTAATATGCCCAGGGCCTCCAATAGGTCAAAGACGATACTGGATATATTGTACAACAGATACAATCCCAACCCCGAACACACACTGCAAGACCAACAGACACTATTAGTTATTTTTGTTTGCATCGACGCGACGTTTCGCATGTTTTTCAGACTGCATCGTCAGAATAATGTTTTTATTTACTTTCTCGAGCTACCTTCGAAAGACTTTTATTCAGCATTCGGATAGTTCATTGAAAGATTATTAAAAATAATGGTCTAAGTATGAATTTATTAGCTAATTTTCGAGTTTATTTATTTGACTCTAACTATCGTAAACTACCACCGGATAATACAATGTGCGATCTAAACCAAAGGAGCTGTTGTTGAAGTCTAGCTACCAGAGATTTGACGAGCAGTCGTTGCAATGGAAATTCTTCCTTCTGAGCTATTTTTATTTATTATTAGTGCGGTAAGTTTGTTATTACAAAGTCGAGGGCTTACCATAGTCCCGAGTTTGTAAATACCAATTCCGCAAGAATGTCATACAACGTTTTTCAAGTCATTTGCGATAAAACAGAACCTATACTTAATTTAAGTAATAAAGCAAAATTATAAAATGGCTTCACGCAAAGGTGGAACATAATTAGAACTACTCTCTCGTCTCTTTTTGAAATGATAACTTTTTATGGGAAGGTAAACTGCTTCTTTAGGTAACGTGTTACGGCGCTAGTATGCTTTTCACCTTCAAACCCCTTTTCATCCTCGAATCCCCTGTTCACCCTCCAATCCCCTTTTCACCCTCCAATCCCCTTTTCACCCTCCAATATTCTTTTCATCCTCCAATCCCCTTTTCAGCCTCCAATATTCTTTTCAATCTCCAATCCCCTTTTCACCCTCCAATATTCTTTTCATCCTCCAATCCCCTTTTCACCCTCCAATCCCCTTTTTCACCTACCGATCTCCAGTGCTCAAAATGGATATTTAAGTTATCACTTCCGTCGTGCGTCCCGAAACGCACACGCTTTTTTTTATTAAAATGATACAGGTATAAATTAATAGCACCTCCAAGAAGGATCAACCAATGTTATAAAAAAACCGTTAAGAATACGTACAGCACCATGTATGGGAGCGTGCTGTTAAACGTTTTACCGCACGCTCCGTTGTTTGGCCCGTAATTTTGAACTATCGAACAAAGTGTATAACCTCCGGAAATGCATATAATGAGCAAATGTGTTGAAAAATAAATTTATTGATATTTGTCTTTTAAGTTGCATAACAACAAAGGATTTGTACGATAGTCTAATCTCACAAATGTCTATCTACCTATACTAAAGACGTAGCGTTATCAGCTTTTGATCTATATCTAAATCTTATCAAACCCCTGGATAATTAAAAAAACGTGACCAACACTTTTATTATCGTAATACAATCGACCAGCTTTTATTTAAAAAAATAAACGATAAAGATATTTCATTCAACTAACAACAATGGTGTTCGCATCATGATCACTTTAAAGATGCACCATTTTCAATTGCGTAATTCGATCCAGTGATTCCTTTTGCAGCGTCACTTGCCAAGAACGCAATCAAATCCGCAACTTCCTCCGGTTCAGACACTCTGTTTAAAGCAGTAAAAGTGCTCGAATCATCCCAGGACGTCGCTATACCAGCATTCTCCATGATATCCGTCCTCACTGGTCCTGGACTTATTGCATTTACTCTGACACCATGAGCGGATAGTTCTAAAGCGGCACCCCTAGTAAAATGATCTAAAGCTGCTTTCGATGTAGCATATGAAATGCAATTATTCATTTTGATTACTTGGCCCAAACTACTTGAAATGTTGATAATATTCCCTTTGGTTTTAATAAGGTGAGGAGACGCCAAACTTGTGATGAGAACTGCAGCACGGAGGTTGACGTTCATTATCTCATCAAAGCTCTTCATGAGTGTGTCACTAAGGACAAGATCGAATCTAAAGATACCGGCGTTGTTGACGAGTATATCCAATTTTCCGTATTTGTCGATGGTTTCGTCGATTATTCTTTTAGCGTCCTTTTCGTTGGCAACATCGGCGCGAATGACGAGCGGCGACTTCCCAATGGCCGCACATTGTTTTTCAACGTTTGCTAATTTCTCCTGGTTTCTGGCAACTAGCACCACTGATGCACCCTCTTTTACGAGAAGCTTGGCTGCTGCAGCTCCAATGCCGGAGCTCGCCCCAGTTATAACCACCACTTTGTCTTGAAATCTCATTTTAATTTGATTATTTACAATTCTCGATGTTGCGTGCACTTCAAACAGCGTGTCGCTATTAACTGCATTATCTTAGTAGGTATACAAAGTACGTACCTTGTATAACGCCGTGATAACGCTGTGACTTAACAAATAATCTAGAAACACGTACGGAAGATAAATGGTTAGGTAGTCACACTGTATTTAGTTGACAATATATTTTAGTAGGTACCTACATAAATCTTGAAAATAATAAGATATTACATATCTTTCTTCAACTTTAAAGTAAATAGTGATTTAGTTATTTACACTACTAAAGCGCCTTTCTTACCGGATCGGCGCTGCATCGTTTCGTTTTCGTCTCTGTACCAAAACTGTACAGATTCTTTACCGAGTGCATGTAATCAAGTGAGAGCTTCCTCACTGTATTGGTTCGGTACAGATTCGTTACCGAGTGCATGTAATCAAGTGAGAGCTTCCTCATTGTGATGTTTCGGTACAGATTCTTTACCGAGTGCATGTAATCAAGTGAGAGCTTCCTCACTGTGTTGTTTCGGTACAGATTCTTTACCGAGTGAATACGCAGCTCTCTGTACCGAATCTTACCAAGGGCTGCCGAGTGCTATCGAAACATTCGACTCGCCCGTCCCGTCACTCCCGCAAACAAAACCGAGCCAGTTAATGAGTGCTTTCCAGTAGAAATAGAAGAAAATGGACAGATGCGGTACAGAACCGAAAACGAAACGAGCCCGCACCGACGCGGTGAGGAAGACGGCTAGTTATATCAATAATGAGTGATGATTTAATTACCTGATAAAGTTGTTGTTCAATTTCTAACTTCATTGTCGGTCTATATGTAGAATATCACCCTAACTAAGTAGATTGAGGAATGAGGAGCTCGATAGCGCAGTGGTTAGCGCGTTTGTGTTGCGATCAAGGAAGTTGACCATTTAAAACAATGACTGAGGGAAGGGATGGGTGACCAAAATTTATTAGCTTGAACTCCTTAGTACTTTGGAAGGCACGTCAAGCCGTTGGTTCCTGCTCCATCGGCAGTCGTTAGCAGCCAACTCGTTTATTAAGAAAGGCAACATATAACTCCACCTCACTTGATGTTAAGTGGTAATGAACTCCATCCTTAGTCGCGAAGATAGATGTTGCGGCAGAAGGTGTGCCGCTCTAGCCGTCCTCATCTGCACGCCAGCCTGCACCTAATCTCCTACCCCACGAAGCCCTAGAACCAACCATATTCACCAGCAGAAATACAGCACCGCCAAAGGTAGCGTTATTTTACTCTGATTTTCTGCAACGCTCCGAAAAAAGGATTGGAGGGTGAAAAGGGGATTGGAGAGTGAAAAGGGGATTGGAGAGTGAAAAGGGGATTGGAGGGTGAAAATACAATACAGACACTGTGCCTCGGAAGACAGTTGCGGCATTAATAGACAATTTAGAACACGTAGCTAAAAATCGTCATGAGACGTGTCAAAATTGTTCTACATGGTATATCTGAAGCTGAAAGGCAACACCATTTCTACACTCTATAGGTAATACGATATCTAATAAAATACTTATACATACGAATACAACAAACATTTGGCATAAAAAAAGCAATCTGAATTGTTTTTTTTAAATATACAACGAGGAAAAAATATACGATAAATCATGCTGTAAATAATCATCTTGTTTTAATTTAATGATTTCACAAAATTTATATTACTAGAAAAAATAATTAATATATATTAATTATTTTATATACATATTTTTATAATACACTTTAATAACTCTTATTTAACGCTACTAACTAGTGTGTAAGATTGCATGTGGTGTGTACGTGTATGTATTGCATATACATTTGCCAAACTCAATAAAATCGAAAATCAAGTCCAAAAACCCATTAGAAGATTAAAGATGGGACAATCAGAAGGTTTCCGGTTTCAGTTTACGTTAAGATTTTGAATATTAAGATATACGAAAATTTTCCATAATAATATCATCATAAATCAAGAAAAAACTCCATCAGTCTATATGTTACACTTTCAAGCTAAAATCTAATCGATTCTGATAATTCCGATATGGAGATAAAAGGAACCTCAGAAAAAGATATAGAGTGGGACTCTTGGTCGCAAAAAATCATTATTCTAAAATCTTTACACCTTATCAACTGGTTAATTAACAAAAATAAAAAAAACACCTCCATTGTTAAGAGAGGAAGAGCATAGTGGGTATTCAGTTTGAGTGTATATTTTTCAAATTGGCCTGGAGAAGTATAAGCTCCACGGCACACGGGGTTGGGGATATTATCAAAAGAGACAAGGCAACGACATCGGAATTTTAAATAAAAATCACAAAAAAGCTAAACTTCTAAAAATTTCGAGGTCTATTTTTTTTATTAGTTATAGCAACATCAGCCCTTTTAATTTAGGTACCTACCGGGACAGCATTATTAGTTTAATTATTTTACTTAAAAACCAAATAAGGCATTTGTCATTCAATCGTCAGATCTTAACGAAAGTATGGACCGTCTCGTAATAAAACTGATTCAAACACCAACTAGTTTGACAAAAATCATTTATATATTTATTTATAACATACACATATTATACGTCACACAATAAACTATTCAATGTTTTACTATAGCACCATTATCGGTCACAAAGTCTGATCCAGTGATTCCTTTAGCAGTGTCGCTTGCCAAAAAAGCTATCAAGTCAGCCACTTCTTCTGGTTGAGAAATTCTTCCTAGAGCAGTGAAATCCCTAATTCTATTAACTCTCGTTACATCGACTTCAATACCGCTGTTAACCATAATGTCAGTGTGCACAGGTCCTGGACTGATGGCATTCACTCTGACTCCATGTGGTGCCAGTTCCAGAGCAGCACCTCGAGTGAAGTGATTCATGCCAGCCTTAGATACACAATAAGCTACACTACTAGGTAAAGGCACGGTTCCAGCTATACTAGATATATTAACAATATTTCCTTTGGTTTTCACCAAATGCTGTGCTGCTAAGCTTGTGAGGTGGACTGTGGCGCGTAAATTGATGTTCAGCACTTCGTCGTAAGTTTTCATAATGCTTCCATCCGAAATGTTCCCGTATCTTGCAACGCCTGCATTGTTGACAAGTACATCGAGTTTGCCGTATTTCTCAATTGTTTCATTGATGATTCTTTTGGCGTCGTCATCGTTGGCGACATCAGCTTGTATGACAAGGGGCGCGTTTCCCAGGGCTGCGCACTGGGCTTCTACTGCTGCAAGCTTCTCTTTATTCCTACCGACCATAACGACAGAGGCGCCCTCTTCAGTCAACAGCTTTGCAGCTGCTGCTCCGATTCCTGAGCTAGCACCGGTCACAATCACCACTTTGTCTTGAAATCTCATTTTTTATTTAGCTATATATTTTAGGCGGGTTACTGTCTGAACTTCTCTGCTATTATGTGATTGATAACAATAAAACATTATTACTTATATATGTTTTTATCAGCAAATTGTAGTGTAGATTATCGGCAGTCTTGATAGTGATGATAACTGAGGAATTTGCTTTTTTACCTTTGAACACAGATACTTAGTTGTACATTGATTGACTTTGTATTGTTCATCACGTTATATACATTATAAATTGATTGTCATATTTTCTCAAATTGCTCAAAAGTCCTCAATAAATGTTTAATTTTATTTATATTTTTTCTGTGACAATGACCCCTTCACCCATCCCCTCCACGCCACCCCTAGACCTCTGAATTTAAAAAATTGGATTTGTTATGAACTACAGATTCCGGAAGAAACTCGTTTTTTTCGATGTTGTAAGTTGACTCTTGGAAAGGGCTTTTATGTACTTATTGTTGTACATGGCGGAGTGTCCCAAATCGCTGTGCACAAAAAGTTATGACACAATATAGCTAGCTAGAAAATAATTTAAAACTTTTTATTTTGGGATCATATCAGCTTCAACTAGCTAGATCATATTAAGCGGAGCATTTGCACCCTGACCTGTTGATAAAAAAAGGAATAATTTAATAGGAGATTTCCGTATCTTATGCAACTATGCTATATAAAAGAATCAATTACTAAAGAATATTTAAACGTACAAAACCCTTAGTGTCGCCGCACACAGGCCACACGCCACAGCCCCTGCCGCCACGAGAAGCTAAAAGCGGCTACTAAAGAGGCTGAAGCGTGCGACAGCGGCCGACTAAAGTAAGGGAGAGAGGGGTGGGAAATCGCGCGAGTGACGTGTGGCGGCGTTTTGTATCGGCGCATTAAGTGGCCGGTGCGGGCCACAAGAAACGAGCAACGACAATTTGTAGCGTATGGCGGCCACCGGCGTACCGTGTGTGCCGAGTCCATATAAAATGTATGAAAACTACAAGAAATATACCGGTGGCGGCGTTTTGTGGTTGTGGTCGATGGCCCGTGTGCGGCGACACTTAGTGTTCGAGTACAACTCGTACTTAACTGTTTTTTTGTTACTTCACTGTATTAGTTTTACAAAATAAACTAAAATTAATTGAGAATTAACATAAAAATAAACACTTATATTTTTGCGAATGAAGTCTGGCTTTATCGCATTATAAGTTTTTTCACACAGTATCTACTCTCGAACTTCCCGCCGTAACAATAGTTAAAGCACATAAAAAGATCTTTCCAATGATATGTCGCATATTGTTACTGGTTTCTAGGCAATCGTCCATACATATGTATTTGCCTTTCCCTTTGAAACTGGTGCGAAAAGAGTGTCTGTTTAACTTAGCATCATAAGTTAGTTCCAAAGATAATAATATTACATTTGCAGAGTTTAGTCAAATACACGCCGATGTAAGGCGGGAGCTCGCTAATGACGCAAATCAGAGGTTTTGTAAAACATTAGAACAGCCCCAGATAGATTTATTTGCGAGACGACTAAATAGAAAAGTGTGAAAAACATCAATTACCTGTACTAATAATTCAGATATTATGACCCAAGTTAGGTGCAAAATTATTTAAGAAGTAATTTTTACCCAAGATATAGCCTTTTCAGAAGCCCTTTAAACAATTGTTATTCTTCTGAGTATATTTGCTGCTCATAGCCTTTGTACTGATGCTATTTTTAATCAAGTCAAATGTTTAATTAATAATGAAAGATTCTAAATTAAATATAGCAGATTAAACTTCAACTGTAAATCGAGCTATATATTATTGAGATACACCTTCAGTATGTCCAACCCAAACCTTGTAATATTATGTGAATGTACCATCAGTAAAAAGGCAACCCGAATTTGTTTTTTTTTTATTATCAAAAATTATTATGACATTGGCTTCTAGGAACATCAGTTCACAGACACTGTAACAGACAGCGGAATGGACATCATTATATTCTCGCAGCACACTACATGAGACTACTTCAGCTGCTAACGAAGTAGAAGGAATAGAGCGAATGAACTTGATGATTATAAAGAAAGCTGCTGGTTGGACAAGTTACTCTCTTACATTTGCCGGGATTATACAATAAAGACGTGTCCGAAAATAACTCAGACATTTTTGCTCGCTCTGTTTACAGAGTAACTACGATCAAGGACAGTTACTTGCTTTTTATTGTCATATTTTTATTGAATCATATTTATGATTTAGAATAAGCTATCTAGAACCAAAGAAAATATAATAAGCAAACTAAATTTAGGCCAGTATAGTTATAAATTCGTCAAAAATATTTATACAATTAAAATTTTCAAAAATCTCATCGTAAATGCTTTAGTTTTGCACCATTATCAGTCACAAAGTCAGATCCAGTGATTCCTTTAGCAGCGTCGCTTGCCAAGAAAGCTATCAAGTCAGCCACTTCTTCTGGTTGAGAAATTCTTCCTAGAGCAGTGAAATCCTTCATTCTATCATCTCTCATTTTTACATCGATCTCAGCACCGGTGTTAGCAATAATGTCAGTGTACACAGGTCCTGGGCTGATGGCGTTAACTCTGACTCCATGTGATGCCAGTTCCAGAGCAGCACCCCGAGTGAAGTGATTCATGCCAGCTTTAGATACATTATAAGCTATATGATTATGGAAAGCGACGGTTCCACCTATACTAGATATATTGACGATATTCCCTTTGGTTTTCACCAAATGCTGTGCTGCTAAGCTTGTGAGGTGGACTGTGGCGCGTAGGTTGGTGTTCAGCACTTCGTCATAGGTTGTCATAAGATTACCATCCGGAATGTTTCCGTATCTCACAATACCCGCATTGTTGACGAGTACGTCGAGTTTGCCGTATTTCTCGATTGTTTCATTGATGATTCTTTTGGCGTCGTCATCATTGGCGACATCAGCTCGGAGCACAAATGGCGCGTTTCCCAGAGCCATACACTGGGCTTCTACTGATGCAAGCTTTTCTTTATTCCTTCCAACCATAACAACAGAGGCACCTTCTTCAGTAAACAGCTTTGCAGCTGCTGCTCCGATTCCTGAGCTAGCACCGGTCACAATCACCACTTTATCTTGAAACCTCATTTTTACTAAAATATATTTAAGTGGTGATACTAACTCAACTCGCTCGAGTATTATGAGATCATAATTAAACATGAATACTTAAATATGTTTTTTTATCAGATAATTGTGGTATAGATTACCGGCAGTCTTGATAATGATAATGACTGAGGTTTTTTTGTGCCAGTCACGATTTAAAGTCAGTTGATTCTAAAATAGATTGCAGTTGCAGTTAGTATTACGTATTTAAAACCGTATTTCCAGCGCATTAATATTGTTCTACTAGCACAACGAGTGATCTGTCAAATCCAAAAAAATTAAGACGATTATCAGTGTTGTATTTTGCTGACACCTTGATTAAAAATAGATAACATTGATCATTATTCATTTATTGGAATCACTTCACCTTTTAGTTAATTATATTATGTAATTTAGAACCCTACCCTCTAGAAAAGGTTTCGCTAAGGACCGGTAAAAAGACAGTGCTCTCCCCACTATCATTAACATTGCCTTTGTTTTGTCAATAACGTAGTATGTTATAATTTTTATTTTATAAGCTTGTAACTGCTGGATGTTTAAATGTAAAGAAAATATGACTAGATAAAATTCCACGCGGACCAGGCAGCAGACGGGACACGAACCCGCACCCTTCGCTATCCGGGCGAATGCACTGACAATTATGCTACCACGTCGTTTTTTTTCTAGCCTTTCTTAAGCTACAAGGCTGCGCCATTTGCGCATTGTAGGTAACGCACAATGTAAAATAAATACCTTTACAAGTATTAAACATTTGAAAGAAGAAATAGCAATTAACGTAGTTATAATTTTTATTTATTAAGCATGCTCGATGTTCAAATTTTGTCTAGTCATATTTTCTTTAGATTTAAACGTAGTACGTGTTTAATTGAACGCTTTTTTTAATTACTCATTCTTTTAACTTCAACGAATGGAGATTATAGTACATGCCCGTCATTTAAAGCAGTTGAAAAGTTATCAAATGTTGCGTTGTACGTTTTTCCCTCACTCGCATGCCAGCATGTGCGATAATACATGAAAAATACCTTGTATTTAGACATTTATTTCATTACCTTATTCCAGTAACGTCAATTTTTAAATACCATATTATATTCAAACTCGATCGAATCAAGAAAGCCGTTTCCACAGTTTCTACATAATTATGTTATCTATATATATAAAAGTCAAAGTTGACTGCCTGACATAGTGATCTATCAACGCACAGCCCAAACCACTTTACGGATCGGGCTGAAATTTGGCATGCAGGTAGATGTTATGACGTAGGCATCCGCTAAGAAAGGATTTTGATCAATTCTACCCCCAAGGGGATAAAATAGGGAATGAAAGTTTCTATGAAACTTTGTCAATTTGAAACCGATCGGGCTGAGACTTTGAATGTAGGTATAAGAAGAATCATAGATGAATGTCATTGTGTATAATACAAGCCTGAGAACAAAAACTGTAGTCTACACTTCAGCTCTACACCGAAGCGAAGCGAGGGCGGGCCGCTAGTTGAGTTATAAACCAACAAACAAATATCCATTACAAATTACAAGTTGAGTTGGATTAATAAGGAAATAAATAGTTTTTAAGAGATTAAATTTAATTAAACACAAACTGAAATTTTACTAGAATAAAATATTGACTCGAGTGACTGAAATCGAAGTTTTGACAATCATGCATGCTATTTTACCTTGAAAACTGCAGCAAGATACAATGATCTGATGATATTCTACACTATCCGAAGCATCCGATAAAGGAGGCCCTTATCGGACGGCCACTCGGCTACGAAGGACCTCCGTGGCCAAGTGGTATATTCGCCGGGTTTCACGACGTCGCCTACTCAGAGGTCACGGGTTCGAATCCAAATGTTAGTATGATGAATACGAGCAATTGTACCCTAGTCATGGATGTATATGTATTTTTATATATAAAATTCCAGCTTCTTTCTTGTCCTCTCCATCCCAAGGTTGTCTGGAAGAGATCGCTCTTAGCGATAAGGCCGCCCATTTTTACACTGTAAGCAGCCATTATGTATAATGTTTTATATTTTTTTGTGGTGTAAAATAAAGAGTTTTTATTATTATTATTATATTATGTAGTCTATCCGTTACCCTAGTATCCCATAACACAAGCCTTACAGTGCTTACTTTGGGGCTAGGCTAATTAGTGTGAACGTGGGAAATATTTATTTATTTATTTACCTTGCCTTGAATTTCCCTGTAAAAGGAAATAATGGTGACACATGCGTACTCACGGCTACTCACAACTCAGTACCCGTTGATCCGTGCTCAGCAAAGCGAGCGTAACCACAATCAGATATTTACAATACACCAACCCAATTCGCTTAAACAAAACACCATAGCAATCTCACTAACACACACTCATTCAAAGCCAGCGCCAATTCAACAGGCTTTAAAACAAACAAGAATTAAATTATACAACACGGGGTGCACGTACAAAATCTCGGAAAACGTTATTTATGGCTGCCTATATGTTGGTTTATTTATAAGAAAGCGCGGCTGCTCTGGGAGATGAAATTACGTGATACCATTCCGAATCAAAGTGAAATATTCGCTAGCTATTGTGGGTACAATGTACAACACATCCATTGCTACGCGCCGACATGTTTTCCCCGATTGAGGACCTCGATGGCGCAGGTCGTTAGCGCGTTCGGCTGCGATTGTTGTAGTTAAGCAACTTTCGCAGTGGTTGGTCATTGGATGGGTGAACGAAAAATTCTATCTCGAGTTCCTCCGTGCTCCGGAAGGCCCGTTAAGCCGTTGGTCCCGGTTGCACCTGCAGTCGTTAGCACCCGCCAATCTGCACTGGGCCCGCGTGGTGGGTCATGGCCCAATCTCCCTATTCCATCCATAGGGAAGGCCTGTGCCCCAGCAGTCGGGACATTAAGCTGATGATGATGATAACCTCCCCTGGTCTCAGTTCCATAGGTGCATTTTTTCGGTGGATAATATCGGATGTATCGGATGCGTTATTGCGACCAAAGACATTACTCGAATTCGGGCACCCGATGCAATAATTAGACTGTTTTACTCACGTTCGGGTACTAGAACACGAGGAAACGACCCTGCAACCGCGTTCTAGTTGGAACGTACCTCGCCTCGTGACGCCAGATTTGTGGGAACCCAAACGAATAAGGGCGTACTCGACTCAGGACCGGACTGTGAGTTTAAGGGGCCCTGGGCTAATACTACTTAGGGGCCCACCTAAATACTCAAAGTATAGAAAATGAGACTGGAAAATATTTAATCTCTTATCTATTAGACAAGTCCGTCCGTCCGTCCGTCCGTCTGTCTGTGGTGCTGTTTCAGCGGCCAAACCGTAAGAGATAGATAAAGAGAATGTTTAAGTTATAAGTTAAGAATAGTCTAATAAGACTACAAACCGGATTTGAGTAACGTAGCACTTCCGGTTTCCGAGAAATAACGAATTTCAAACGAAACCACACAAAATCTCCGAAGTTCTCAATTAATTAAATACATTTTTTTTTTAATTGGTGAACATTTGGTTCACTGGTTTGCTAGTTTATATTATAATATATTATGCCTTAGTGTTATACAATCATAAATAAATTGACAAATTATAACCTCTCCGCACTTTTCTTTAGCAAATTCTTAAATTTGCTTCTAACATTCTAGGTTCTTAGTTAAATCAATATTTACGGACAAAAAGGATATATGGCTAAGTCGTAAGTTTGACATCGTCGTTCTGTATTTATTCTCTACACATCATCGCGATAATAACCGTATATAACCGTTAATAACCATACGGTCGCTTTCGTTTGATAGAAATGCATACCGGGAGTTCAGGGTTGCCAACCCGTAGACGGCCATTACACATTCAATGTTGATCACGATACGCAACATTCCTTCAAAACAAAACTTTATTTATTACTATCCTACTAGTTATAAATAATTAAAAATGATAAATAATGGTACTTATAAATAATTCTAGCAAGATAGAAAGAGACAAAGTCTAGGAGGGAAACAGAGGAGCACGATTGAGATAAATGTGTAATGGTAGGTAGCGAAACATTTTAACTGCTAGTTGGAAAGTACCAACACCTGAAAGTAGACTTGAATTTATTGAATTGAATGGGTTTTATTAATCGCAGGATTCGCAGGGCTGCAAACTATATGATCTGTTTAATTTAATAAAATTATGGATTCTTTCGCATTATCGTCTATTTTTGACTAAACTTGACGTAGCTGGGGGCCCCTTAAATCAACGGGACCCTAGGCTGAAGCCCAATAAGCCATATGGTAGATCCGGCCCTGTCGACTTGGTTCATTTACACTTAGTCGTTTATCCGTATTCCATAGGCAATCGTATTCGAGCTAAGTGTTATTGCGTAGCCGTTCTAATACATAATGTACTAAAACAGATATAAAAATAACGCATCCCATATTATCGACAGATAATAGCGCACCTATGGGGGAAAGGCTTATTGGGGCGACTATAAAATATGACCCAGACCATTGGCTAATTTTAGCCTCGATGACACGGGGCGAGTTTACAAGCTACAAGCCAGCGAGTTCGCTAGTAGCTTGTAGGCTTGTTGAAAATATATCGATGTATCGATATGTCGATATTTTTTGTTCGATATATCGATATTTTTTGCCGATATATTTTGATTCGATATATCGATACATCGATACAAAATAACCAATATCGAAATTCGTATCAAAAACGATATTTTTTTAATTATTAGCGGCATATCACGATCTAACTAAATTCGTATCTGGAAAAATCGTAACTGGATCTCAGATTAATGATATTCAACATATCTATGATCTGTGCTGTATTTAGTATTGTCTATGTCTTCATTCGAAAATAGGGTCTATTTTTAGGGAGATAATTTTTGTTCCATTATTATTCCGCGTGTCATATTTCGTGAGCTACTGTACGATATTTTTGGGAAAATTGGTCCGATATATTTTTTCGCGATATATCGAAGCCGATATTGATATTTTTTAAAATATCGATGTATCGATATATCGATATTTTTTTCAACCTTCGACATCCCTAGTAGCTTGTTAACTCGCCCCGCATCATTGAGTAGCAGATGGTAAAAAGTCGTTG